CAAAAGATTAGAGGAAATGTATATATATATATGTAGGTATATATATATATATATATGTATGTGTGTGTATGACACACACACATTCATTGAAAGCACATGCCAAGGAGACAGCCATATGATAGGTTGTGTTCACACTGCGTTATCCGAAGGGAAAACTGCATGTTCTACTCCTGACTTCTGATCTCATGAAAGCACATGTCCATTCCATAAAAACACAAGACTGGACTCAGTAAGGAAAAACATATATAATGTTTCGTAAATTACAGAATGACAACCAAGTATCTACAGCGATGAAGTTTGATGCTTACGGCCAATTCCAGGGTTCACAGAAGTATATGTAACTGTTACTTTACCAAAGGAAGTAAGCAGATTCATATGCAGCAAATTAAAAATACTTTGGGGATACTTTGGGGATAAGTGGTAGCCTTAAAAAAAAAAAAAAAAAAAAAAAAAGGCGGTGATGTCTTATGCCGGTTTCTACGCTTCTTAATCAAGGACATTTTGAAATCAGCTAATGTTATATCTGAGCAAGCAAAAAATTATATTCTTTTCTCATTGACTCTTTGGATGTGAATGCATATCTGTCACTTCCAAACATGGAGGATACTACACATATATTCAGGAACACATCCCCATAGAGACAACCTCTCAGTCAGAGCTGCAGTGGATATGGTTTGTGAGCTCACCTGTGTTCTCTTAAATAACCCTGATTCTGGAGCCTCACTTAACCAGTACAACAAATACCACTGCTGTTTCTGAACAAGGTGCCCAGGGACAATTGTCACCTGCAATAGTTAAAGAAAATGTACATAATCCCCACAACATGCTGAAATAAAACATGTTATAAATTTAAATCAATTTGCTTCTGGAGAAAGAGAAACAGAAATGTTGCTTTTGAACAGCTGGCTTCCCTGTTGATTTTACTTTCCCTGCAGCCCCAAAGATGCTGTGCTCTGAAGTGCTGCACATACTTACAGCCCTCTATAAATAAACGGGACTGTGTGCATCTATTTCTGATTAAAATCCTGTGTAAATACAAATGGCAATCAGGGGCAGCCCTCAGGTTCCTCACAAGCTATAGTGCAAGTTTCTGCTACTACAAACGTTATCCACCTCTGATCTCCCAGATGAGAGCAATAAAAACTAAACGAGTTTGAGAAAATTGTGCTACAGATTAATTAAAAAAATATATGGCCAGACGATTTCTAAAGAGACTTTAGATAAGCTTGAAAGAACTGGACTTGTATGAACTTCATGAAAGAATACTAGTTTTTACAGTGTTCTAAAATGGTATTAACTACACATATTGTCAGGAAACCCATTTAAGAAGAAATTGCCAGCAACGCGAGTTGTTAGTCAGAAGAAAAAGCCACGGGGCAAACAAATGCTCCAGTAGAGAACGATTTAAAATGAGATGGAAAAAGCATTCAAAATTACACCGCAGGGAACTGCTCTGAAAAAAGACATCGTGTTGTTCTTCTCGGAGTTTCCTAGAGCTAACACATTGCCAACACTGAGAAACCCAGGACTTAGGCGGCATTTCACAGTCTATCTGGTGAGCGGGAAGAACTAACATTTCCTTTGATAGCATATCTCTTTGATACCATGAAATTATAACTGTAACCACACTGAATGCTCAGTTCTCAAGGCACAGGGACAGCCTCTCCACCCAGGCTGCACCACCATGTCTTACATGCTCCCATTACCTGACTGAATCTGACTACATATAGCTAAACATAATCACTTATTTGTCTGGGTCACACTTTGTTTTGCCATTTTCCCAGTCTGCAGCAGTACTCACAGCGCTCCAAAGCACGCTCATTTATTTAGGCTCCTGCTGACACTTCTTCTGTATCAGCAGCAATGCTGTCGAATGCACTGTGGCAGTTACTCAGATTCACTATGGGCTAAATACCTGCAAGCACCTTTCCAGTCTTGCCATAGTTTGAAGAGTTGTTTAATTGCAGGTAAAAAGAACACAGCTCATGGCCTGATAACTCCCTACATTGGCTTGGATGGTTATAAAGCTCACTACTTTCTCTGCTAATAGAATTAATATAACAGAATTCACTCATTTCCCCTGTTCCTTCCCCAAACACAGCTTTATCCTCCCGTTAACTCATGGAATAGAAGCCAAAGGCAGCCAAGGTCTAATGTCCCCCTCCAAATGTTCCTGGAGGCAGCCTGCCTGACATTTTCCTGGCCAAGGCTCGGGTGATGCGAGATGCACCCAGCGGCGCCCGAGCAGCCCCGCAGGAGAAGGGCCGCCCTCGGGGCCCTGCCCGGGCCCGCAGCCCTCGCCGCCCTGGCCGCGAGGCGACCCCCAGCCGCGCTGT